TCGAGTGTGGCTTTAGATCCTTTTTCTTAATACTTTTGGATTTTGTATCTTCCTATTTTTTTTTTTGTTCTGTTTTAATTTCAATTACTCAATTTTGTCTTTTGTGTCAGATTCTATTTAATTCTGTTTAGTTTTGTTTTAGTTCAGTTTGTCCTACTTTGTAATGAGGTTTATGTTGTTGTGGATTAGAAGGATCTTAGACACTTGAGATAGACCAGTCTTGTTTCACTTGACCATAAAGTCTTTTTGATCAATGTCTTTCTTAATACAAACTTAATCATTTTTATTAATAAATTTTATTGTAACTTTGTGAACTTTTCAATAATTTCTTGTATATTAGTTTTGGTTTATAAATTAATAGCCTTTTATGTTTAAAAATATTAAATATATACATTTTATATGTCTCTATTTTATTTCACATATATATATATATATATATATATATATATATATATATATATTGAATTGTATATATTTATTTTTATTACTTTTATTATAATTTATTTTTATATTTTTATATCCAAAAATAAGAAAAAAATTATTGGCAACAATCTGTATAAGATAATAGATATATATATATATATACATGTAAAATAAAATGGAGATATATAAAATGTATATATTTAATATATTTTTTAATACATATTTTTTCAAAATATATTTAATTTATTTATTTAAATATCAAATAAAACTAAATAGTTTGAATAGAGACATATATAAATGTTAGATTATTTTATTTCTCTTAAAATAAGTATAAATTCTATTGGTATAAAGATAGATGTTCAAGAAATTTAAGATAATATAAATTTTTATAGAAATCTTATATTATAGATATATTTCATTGTATTTTATAGCATTTTTTATTTTTAGTTTTATTTTTCCATTCACAACAATTTTAGGAGATGAAGTTTCTTAAACTTAATTCATGTATTAGAATTAATACTATCATGTTTTTCATTATTTTGTACGCTATGTAATTTTAAAAATAATTAAGTGTCAAAGACAAGAACTCAAAGATTGTAAAGAAACAAGTGAGACATATATTTAAGAGAGATAAAAAAATAAGAATAAGAAAGTATGTATATTCATGAAGAAATTGGAATGACTATTTCTAAAGATTAGAACACTAAAGATTCTTGAAACTAGACTAGAAGCAAGAAAAGAATTGACAAGAGTTATAAAGGCCATACTCTTATTTCTATATCTACTATTTAATTAGGAGCTACATGGCAATATTCTACAGGATCTTTGACATGTGTTCAACCTGTGGGACATGTATATAACTTACAATGCAAGTTTCCTAAATGTGTGCCACATGGCCAACTTAAATCACAAGTGGCTAATATATGCAACATGTGGCTAACATGTTGATCTAGTTTTCAACTTATCAATCATCTATAGATAGGTAAAAACTTAAATCATTTTTATGAAGATTTTAAGATGTTTTTTCATAAGATATTCTGTAATTTTATCTAACTTTACTTAGTTCTATCTAATTTTTCTTATCAAAGTAATTTCTATTGTTGGCTATGTCCATGACATGATGTTTGATAAAAATATCTTTAAAAATTATACCATCTAATGAAATTATTTTAATTCCTACTTTAGATCATTATATTTTTAATACCGCTACAAATGTTCTTAAATAGATATAATCTTGTAGAAGATCAAAAGTTTTAAAAGATAAAAAAAAAATCTAATTTATATTAATGATTGCAATAGAAAAGTATATATATATATATGTGTGTGTGTGTTAATATGTTGTATTATAAAAATATATGTCATATTGTAATTAAAGTTTAAAAAACATATAATTTAGTTTAATTTTTAATTATATTTATGATAGTATATGTATAAGATATTGCTTATGCAATCATAATTATTACTATTAATACCTCAATTCCATAAAATTTTCTCACAACCATTTCTTTAAGGTTGTATATATATAAAAAAAAATAGGTAGAAGGTTGTGATCATAGTAAAAAAATTCTTGTGGCATTAGTAATACCTTATATATATATATATATATATATATATATATTTATGTCTACACACTATAAATTTTTAATATATAAAATATTATTAAAAATCTTTTACATATAGTATTTAAAATAAAATATTAAATTAAAATTAATACATAAAATTTTAAAATAGAATAATTATAAACCTATATCATATAATATACATGTTCAAATATATATAAAACTAATTGAAACTAGTGTTGTTGGCAACAAAAAAGTGATCATATTTATCCAATAGTTATCAAAAGTTGACTTATTGCTTCACTTTTGATTTACTTTTGATGAAAACAATGAGATATGTAGCTAAGCAAAGATGGTTTTAGTCTCTTCTAGTTTATTCTTTGTAAGCTATTTTATATAAGAGATATGAAAGTTGTTAAAACAACCTTAATATTTACTAAATCAATCTATCCATCCTAACTATTATCAAAAAATTCTCCACTACGAAATTTACTTTAATTGAAAATTGATCAAAAAATAATTGGATTTACAACCAATGATGATAGATAGGTTGAATCAATAAATGTATGGGACAATTTAAGAATTCCCAATAATGAATGTAAAATGAAATAAAACAACATCCACATGACTATTATCAATTATTTAATTAATTATGAATTATGAACAAATTACATAAACAATATCTCATTAAGACAAAATAATATATAAAAAAAAAAACCTATAAAGTATACATTGATCATTCAAATGAAACACCTTCTACTTTTTTTTCTAGATAAATGTCCTCATCTTTTTACAAAATCTAACTTATAACTCTACATCCCAACAATGTATTTAGAAACAAAACACAAGTACATGTGCTTCTTCCATCAATGTTCTACAGATCCCAATATCTTTAAATTTAGCTTCCAATTTTTGTATTAAATTAATTCCTATATCCATCAAGATGAAAAAATATATTTAACCACTGTGTTTTGAATTGGCTTCATTCCCTTTTTTCATATCTTTTTTTGTCAAATGTTTACAATTATTTCTCTTCCTCCCCTCTTCTTCTTCTTCTTGCATTCTATACCAATATATAAATTTAAAAAGAGAAGCTTTTCAATTGGACAACTAGTACTATCAATCCATTTACTATATTTATAACTAGCGCAGGTGTAACCTCCAACCTATTCCCTTCGTCTAACACTTGCTATTCAGAATACACATTTTCGAAGATAAAAACAAGAATCATTTCATAATTTTCTATTCAATGATGCTTTCTATGCAACCTGAGTGCAATAGATTCTTAGAATTGGTGATTCCTCCTCTCCTCAACATCTTCCCCTCTCCAAATTTTATGCATAATTATGAATGATTCACTCTCCAGATTCTCACAAATCCATTCATAATCCCAATCGCGTGGGACTGAAACCCTAAAATTCTGCATGCATCTCCCATCGTCGTCAACACAGTCGTGGATTTGCATGGGCGATCGGCTCCGACAGCGCGCTACACTTGGAGGTCAGATCGGTTGCAGCGCACAAGGATGATCGAGAAGCTACACCGGGCAGGAGTGAAGGAAATCGTGGACTGAAAGCAATGCAGAAATGCAGGGGCCAGTCAGGATTCACCTGTCTCAGCTTTTGTTGCAGCGGCGAGAAACCAAAAATCGTGTGTGAAGATTTCCATGGCAGCGCACTAGTGCTCCGCTGCTGATTTTGTACCCACAACATCAAGCTGCGTTCTATCGGCGTTTGTGATGTCCTAGAGTTTTACAATTGCAACCGTTCGGGTGGGTTGCAAAGCTTTCACCGCACTAGTGGCATTATAATGGTGGGGGATAGAAGAGAGGTTTAGGCTATGGTGGGCCTACACGATGCCGACAATTCCCCTTCAGGTACGTCACGGAGCTTATGGAGGGTCAATGAGCGGTGGGATGCTAATGGTTAGCTGCTGGAATGACTTCCGAGTATGTTCATCAATTCTCTGTCACGAACACGTCGTCTTCGTCGAGGGTTTGAGAAGATGCGGATTCTTTCGACTAACCAATGACGTGGAAATCTCAAGGTCCTGTCGTGTCGTCCGAGCACACTCGTGCGTTACGCAGATGGCGATGAGCTCTAAGCTCGAATATGAATCTCCATTCGCCTTCAGTGGCAAGATCAGCTGGAATCAGCACCACTGCGAGAAACCCTAGAATCTTTAAAATCCTTCAAGTTTAGTTGGTGTGCGGCTTCGGCAAAGTTTGTCCGAGAGTAGGATTCTTTCATCTCCGGAATAATGTCATTGGGTTACTCTGGTAAACCATAAAGGATAAGAAACAGTCAATCTTCCGGGAATTATGGCGTGCACTGAACTAAGTCGAACAATGGCCTCCGTAGCTGGGAAAGGTCTTGAGGCGCGTCGCCGCGTTTGCTCGTAACAACAGCGCGGCTGGAGGATTGTTATCCTCTCCACAAAGTGTGAATATACAAATATTTTGGGAAATAAAATAACACAGAAACATGATAGTTTATAAAACCCACCATCGAAAGCGTGGTATTCCTATCCAGAGCATTACCTTTGATTCCCGCTTGTTTGCAACAACCACAAACGACCCGATCTCAAGTCACCGCCTCCGAATTTTACCAGTGGACATCTCTTTCACGCATTTCTATTATCCTCTCGATTTCCAAGCTTGCCCAATTCTCTAACTCGGAGGTAATTGTGGTCTCGCTAGCACGTCAGCGTCCTCCTGCCCTCCAAGCCCAACACCTTGTGTGCGAGAAGAATGTGGGCCATAACAGCAAGGTTAAAAAATGCGCATCAAATTTGAGTAACGCTGAGGATTAATGCGGCGATATTCCAGGAGGATTTCATGACTTGTGATCCTCACGAGATTGTTCCAAGCAAGCGATCCAGTGCGGTGAGTTCATCGATTCCTGGAAAAAGCTCACCAATACTCGCCCCGTTCTTTGACGAGCCGTTAACCCCGCACGAATGAATGTGGCCCAGCGCGCGTGTACATTTCCTAAAAGCTCTGTGTGATTTTCTGCCAGTTCGCCAGATTTTTGAGAATTTTCTTGGCCATATTTAGTAAGAGTTAGGGTAATGAAGCTGCAATGGTGTCAATTGGAGAGGGAGTGTCTCGGTTGTTGGATGTTCCAGTCGTTTGGGCGCTCAGTCACGAGTGGTAGCGTAGCCCCTGAAGCCGAAAAGGGTATCTTTTCTGTCAGATGCTTCACTTTCTTTTAGGCTGCTTCTGCTCCGAAGGTTTTTCGGGCCGTTCTGTGTTTATTTCCTGTTTTGTTGCTCAAGGTTGCGGGAGTGAGGAGCGTGGGACGTAGCCACAGCCATAGCCATGGCGCTCCGAGTTGTCGCTCCGAGCACTGGGCAAGCAGCGTGTTGGGGAATTGTGTCCTTGCGAGATGGCGGGAGTAGGAGGAGTGAGAGCGGCGGTAGAGTTTGCATGGCGATGAGTTGGGAGGGGCAGCAGTATCAGATGTTGAAGAAGCAGCAGGTGCAGGGATTGGGACATTGGGGGGCGCCGATTACAAGAAAATCCGTCAGCAGGAGGCTGGTGCAGAGAAATGCATCGGCAGAGCTCGCGAATGGGGGTGGAGACGATGGGGGAAGTGGTGGAGTGAAGGGGTATGGGGGTGGCGATGGGGATAGTGAAGAGGAAGGCAAGGGTGGAGCTGCGAACCGTGAGGAAGCTCTCATGGTGTTGTCTGGATTGGGCAAGACGCTTGAGAACTTGCCAGCCGATCTCGCCTCCGCGATTCAGGAGGGACGCATCACTGGCGCTATTGTGACGAAGTTCTTCGAGTTGCAGGACTCCAAGTTCTTGGGCTGGTTGCTGAATTTTAGCGGATTCAAGGAGCGGCTTCTTGCTGATGATTTGTTTATGACGAAAGTTGCGATCGAATGTGGCGTGGGGATTTTTACTAAGGTCTCATTCCTTTCTCGTGGCTGCTTTTGTCTGTTTGCCTCTTGTTATCTTTCAATTTGAAATTTGAAATTGTTTTACAGTGAGGACATATGTGGACCTTGTTTGCTTGACGAACGCCGCTTTAACATTAGTAGCGGCTGGATTGAGATACCTATTGGTCGTGGGTCACGAAAATATGTAGAGGAAGATTCTGCAAGTCTTTTGCCTCTATGGAGAACTTGCTGTTAGGCCGAAATGTGGGGAATTTCCATGTTCTCCCTTGCTGAGCTCTTTTTTTGGGAGATAATCTGTTGTTGTGTCGTTTTGGCGTTTTGATAATGGATCGACCAGGATGAAACTCCTGACATTCTTTTCTCGAGTGGCCTAAGTTACCATCTCATTCGCCTAAATACGTGAAGAGTCTTGAGAGGTTTTTCTCTTATGCATTCTTGTCAGCACATTGGAATTGCAGACAGCTGCTGAGCTGGAGAAGCGGAAAGAGAATTTTTCGAAGGAGCTGGACTTCGTCTTTGCTGATGTGGTACGCTACATACTCAAGTCATTACCTTGCCAAACTTTCAGCATTTAAGTATCTTCTCGATTGGAGGATCTCCTTGACCTTTTATCTCAGATTCTAATTTCAGTCGAACACGAAGAATAGAACGGCACGCTGATTTAATATTGCATACGATTGAATACAATTGTAATCTTCCTGATCTGGTGCCTATATCTTCATTGGTGAAACAGGTGATGGCTCTGATTGCTGACTTTATGCTGGTGTGGCTACCAGCCCCAACGGTGTCATTGCGTCCTAGGCTGACCGCAGGCGCTGGAGGGCTTGCGAAATTCTTTTACAATTGTCCTGATAACGCTTTCCAGGTAACCAAGAAAATCTTCCCTTCCACACTCTATTCACGTGGTTGTTTTTGTGGCAGCTACACGTCGTGCTGTTGTGGGTTTATTTACCCTGTACCTACGCCCACAATGTAGTGATTAGAAATGATGTTCCTAATGTCGTCTAAACGTTTTGAGCTATTAACTAATTTGTAATCTTCGGGTTGGTTCGTTTATGATATGCAGGTTGCACTTACAGGGCAAACCTTTACTCTTTTGCAACGTGCTGGTGCCATTGTGGTAAGCCTTTCTGCCTTACCTGGGCAATTGCGATTGCGAGCCTTGAAATTTAGGTTTTTGGATGCTGATTGAACGCAGTTTGGTCTCGAGATTCAGACATCATGGTCTGAGAGAAGCTCGTGTGTTGCTGTTTGCAGAGAAATGGGTCCAAGTTGTTGGCTGTCGGTACAACAGCCTCACTGGTACGATGTCATGGAAGTTTTTCACTTGACGTCTGTTGCTTTTTCATTGCAGTATTCATCTGAAATCAATGCATCACTACTCTTGTTCAGTTGCTTGATTCAGTTCTAGACTCTGATTGGAGATTCTAACGGTATCAGATGCAGGGAATCCAAAATCCACGGGTCAGCAGTTGTTATCCAATACAGTAACCTAACTGGGAGTTGTTGTCTTCTGAATTTTGGCAGGTCGGAACAGCCTCTACGAATGCCTTAATTGCAATTCGTCGAAAGGTGGATAAGAATTTTGAGGGAGAGTCGGAAGATATTCCAATCCTTCAAACGAGTTTGGCCTATGGAGTTTACATGGCTGTCTCCAGTAACTTGCGGTATGACTTCAGACATTTTAGGCCACCTTCGTTAAAGCAATCCTCTCTCAAGCTTGTAATTGTTACCATGTTTACCCTCTGATGTCGACCAAAGAATAAGATTTGAGAGTCCTTTAGGTGCCACAACAGGTAATGCAGAAGCACGCACTTGACACGAACTATAGTGGCATTGCTTTTAGGATTTTCGTGTAGAATGGCGTTGATTAGTAGTGCATAATTCTCACCGGGGAAAGAACTTTGTTTCAGGTACCAAATTCTGGCAGGAGTGGTTGAGCAGCGCATATTGGAGCCAATGCTGCACAATCAGAAGTTGCTTCTTAGTGTGATGAGTTTTGCTGTTCGCACCGGAAATACGTTCCTTGGTTCATTGATGTATGATTCCATCTTTTTCTCTTTTCTGAAAGTCTCATGCACGACTACCTTTAGAAACTGCTCAGAGCTGATTTTATTTCAGAATCACTGCCACGAAATACCGTTTCACCTTGTCTTATGCTAAGGACGTATGTGTAGGTGGGTGGATTACGCACGATGGGTTGGAGTACAGAAGGACAGAGGTTCTGAAGAAGCTGTCGCAGCCATTGAGGATGCTGCTCAAGCTGTTGCCGGAGCTACAGGATCAGCGCCTGCTTAGAGTTTTTAGCATCACTTGCATCTGTGAGGACATATGCAACTAATTCACCTTCTCAACTTAAAATCTCTTTAGTGATGGTAGTTCTACCGTAATAAGTTCATTTCTTCGTGCACGACTTCAGGAAAGAGCTGGCCTCAACTTCTTTTGAAAAATTCAAATTTAATTTTTAACGAAGGTGAACTAGACGCTTCCTTACTGTAAGTTAAGTTTTGAGCTACATCTAGCATATACGATGGACATTCTTGTACATCATGATTCCCGATGTCACAGCAAATGGCATTTGAAGATTGTGATCCAGTATTTTTATGGTCTCTTCTGACGCTTACATACTCCTGGACTGGTCACTGCGGAGGCATTTGCATACTGTGAACTGGTCGGTTTCATTCTATCGTTGTTCTTTCATGTTCGAATGAGGTTGCGGAATGTTTGAATGAGTCTATGTACACGTTTGAGCGCTTTCTACTTCGTATCTATACATGCATGGTGCATGTATTGAATCTCTGGGACGGAGCAGTTAAAGGCGAATCTTAAAAGTGCTGTGCAGCTCCCGTGGATCACAGCTTGACATATGTTTGTCCTTCATGTTCGCTTGTATATGTGCTACGTGGAGGCGACAGCACATTTTATGCTCACTGTCTAGCTAGAGCTGCGAATAAGAACGCTAGGCTTGCGATAGATCTCTAATTGTACTGACGTTTCTTTCTCGAAATCAGTTATTAGAATGTGGACGCGTACTAGCTACATCTAAGACCTCTCGTCAAATGCAGCAGTCGTGCGCTTTGCTGCCTGCAAAGGCTTCAGAGATTGTTGCAGCCAGAGCTAACTTGACCAATGAAGTGATGTCTTTGTTGATTACGTAGTTGCTTGAAGTGGACCTTGGATGTGTCCGCGCATGCAGTCGAGTTGAACAGCATTACTCTTTGACCACAACCGCCATGCCGCCGATTCGCAGTAAAAGGTACGAGCCGATGTTGTGGTTAACGCATTATTGAAATCATGTCTGTTATATATCCTAAAAAAAAATTCATGTGTGAACTAGCTGGAAACACAAACTTCAAGCAAGCCACAGATCCATTCTTGTAGTCCTAATATTTATTGAAGTAGCATTGTCATCGAACGCTGCCCGTGCACATCCATTACTATTTGGTGACGATGTGAGGGCAGATAGGACACCCCAATGGATTTTCCTTCTTGATCCAAGGTTGGCGACAGCTCTGGCACAAGGAGTTCAGTTCTCGCACTCCACTCGGCGAGGATGTGGAAGCAACAATACTTGTGTCAATGCGGTGACAAGTTTGCAGAGGCTGTAGGTGGTGCGAGGGACAAGTTTTCGGTTGGGTAAATCAAAGGATCTTTAATCTTGGTAATGCGGGCTCAATCAGATTTTCGTTTGAGATCGTCTACGTGACTTGATAACAGCTCCTGGGTTGGCTGAAGCTCGGCAAGAATTGCCAATTTTTGACGTGCACATGCGAATTGGCTCTTATCCAGTGCTACATCAGCGCTAATTCTTAGGTGATGTGCCAACATGCTATCCGACCCATCTCATTCTAGGAATGACTAGAATGTGTTGATATTAAACCAGCGGCTCATTCCAGAAGGCGAGTAGTCAAAGTTTGTACGGAGTAGTCCGATACTTGTATTCTGAATCGATGGAAGCTTTGGCTGTGGTTTCTACGATGCCAAGGCGCTATATCGCTTGTCCTAAATTCATTTATAACTTCACATTGGCGCCGACTGTGACAGAGATCCCGCTCACATTAGCAGATAAGACGAAGTAATCAGTCCTTTGCCTTCAATCATGGTATCGTCTTCTTGTGCTTGCACTACTTATGCATTTTCTCAGTGTTTGTCAAATCCTTGTTACAACGGTTAAGGAGAAAGTCCAACATAATCCTTACTATGTGACTAGAGGAACTCTCTGTATATGAGTCCCCATGTTACGCACTTTGGATACCGCCACGGCACGTCACCTCTCGTATCCACCATCAATTTTTAAGAGTTTCTGGTATTTCCCTGTCAGTTTAATCCCACGTCAACCAGCTCCTTCATGGAGTTTCTTTTATTGCTCAGCAGATTAATTTGGTACCCGCCTCGAAAGAAATGACCGAGGACATAACAAGCAAATTCAGCTGCGCTATCTGGTATGAGGATCTGCGATATTGGGTTGTCATCAAAAGAGGCACTTGGTTCGATCAGAAGTGGCGCATCTGAAACTCCACAGTTTGATGTAAGAATCTTGACAGAATAATATGCCTAGTGCTACGTGCACGACTGTTTGAATTGCGCACACATCTACGCCCAAATCAATGATCCAACCTTCTTCTAAATATCGCTCGCATCCACCCTGGATTTGACTGGGAGTCAAACCTTCTTATCTTCTTGGTGTCACTGCGATTCAGGAGGTTTGGTAATCTTGGCACCTGGACTGGAAGGCATTGGATTGGTGTCAGTAATGAGGTGCTTCGGCCTGATGTCAATGCAGGAGGCCTTCGAAGAATCTTTTCCATTTTGCTCAGGAGGTTTCGTCTTGATGGAGCTGAGAGACTTCCTCGAAGATTCTCCACGCACTTGCAGCCGAGTTTCGATGGTGTCGAGCCCTTCCTTCTGCTTCGGAGATCCGGTTGAACCATGAGATTTCCCATCTAAATTTGAATCAGAATGAGTTGCGAATCATGTATCTTACGAACCATCCCTCTAAAGTCTCGTGATGATCATCGTAGTGACGTCCACCTTACAAAGTTCAATATTTTAGGAGTGGTATATTCTCCAATCGCTTATTCGCAGAACCTACACTATTGCTGCACCATGTTCAACCCGTGTATCAGTGTAAAATCCCAGATCGCATTGCATTACAGACTCAAAAATTATAGGAGCCTTTGACATGGACAAATCAGTGCAGTGGCTGATAATCAAGTTCCATGATAAGAAAGTAAGCAGCTACAGGCTAAATTCGTTCGGCTTTTACTCTGGTTCACGGTAATTGGTTAAATTTAGAGGTCGTGAAACTTTCTCTCCTGCAGGCCTGACACGCTTTCGAATTGCTGGTACCTCATTGACCACAGGCACCTGAATTCTTTCCTCCTCTAGTAGTATTGTTCGAGGAACTATCACTTTAAAAGCCTTTCAAACTCGATGACATGCACTTGCACTGAAAAAGTGCAAGTCTCTTCCTTAACCCTGGAATCCACTGACTCATCCGTTCTGAATTTTGTTGAAATTCTTTCAGGTTTTGCTGTTGCCAGGAATTGCAACCAACTGCCGGAGAATGGTGATATTGAACCATTATAAAAATGAATGTCTCACTTACTAAAACCTAGTTAAAAACAAAGTTGTCCCATCTATTGAAACCATGATAAGAACTGATATGTTTGGGGTGAGTGGTCTCTTGTGGATATTCATCTTTTGCAATTCAAAGTTGGATCTTGGCAAAGATATTTTTTGTACTTGTTTTCTTTTTGTAAAGAAGATTTAAATTTTTGGAAGAGTTGGTTGTGTAGCATCATTTGAATCTCTAAAGGTTTCCTTTTCATTAAAACGAGTTCAACAAATTACATCATTAATTTTAATTTCCATTTTCTATATATCATCATTGTATACATATAGTGTGTAACAAAATTTAATCAATCAGAAATGGAAATTCAAACCTTTAGACTTGGAATAATGTTTGCTACTTGGCACTCAATTAGTACTGAAAAATACACAAGTTGTGAGTAGAAATTGCTATTTCAGCTCCAACAAATGTCATGACTTAGTTTTGCATGCCTCTTATATTAAACACAATAAGGTTGAAAAAGAGGAATGCAATATTGCAAAACTCAGATTTTCATGTATATTTGGATTATACTTTATCTCAAAGCTTTCTACATGTTCCTTGTGGATCTTGTTCAATAATCATGGTGTACCTAAAAAAGCTTTATGCTAGTGCTAAAATAGACCTTGATAACTCTATTTTTATGAAGTTGCAAGCTAGTAGTTCTACAAAGGATGTAGCAAATGAGTTGTAGATGACTTACAGTCATGTCATACAAATTTAAAAAAAGAAATAGTCTAATCTACAAGGTTGTAGTGGTAGTGGACCACAAGTGTTCACAAATGCATAGAAGAAAGTATGTGTCAAAGTTGCTACATTAGTAGGTAGACAAAGTATTAAGTTGTTTTGTGATGGAAGATGCAAAAGTGAGTTAAAGAACACAATTTTCATTAAATATAATTTCCCGGTACATATTAATGTGAAAGAGACATATTTTCCCGTCAAAATGTAGCATGCTCAAACTATTAAATTACACAATTTCTGGAGAGAGATGACTTATTGCCAATTTCTCTACCTCGTTGATTGAATTAGGAATTACAAGAGTTTGACTTAGTTTTGCTACACACTATCTATCTATCTCACTCAATTGTATTACTATATTAGCTATAATAATATAAGTTTCACTACTATCATCAACATTATGTATGTGGTGAAACTATTGTAGCATATTTCATTTTAAAATCTATTTTTGTTTGTATTACTGTCTTTGTTGAAGTAATTCAAAAAGTTGCAAAAACAAAATCTCTTGCAATGTCTACAACACTTACGTCCATATGTACATTAGTTATCCATACTTATAAAGCAATACAAGAACATTTAACATATATGGTAGAAAGAAAAAACATATAAATATCTACCCTAAACCCCATCTTAACAACTGTGTCATGCATGTTCAAAAAAGGTGTACAAACTTTATTTTGTTTTATAATAATCAATCAAAACTAGAATTTTAGTACTGAAATTACATACTGGTAAATTCTTATTGAAACCTTCACTTGAAGATTCTTGTTTACTCTCGTATATAAGATATAGAAAATAAAAGTTAATCTCCATTGATGTGCACTGATTATCGCAGTCAAAAAAATGATTATCATCATTTACAGAGCACCATTTTGTGATCAACACGTCATAGAACATACTGTCAGATTATTTTGGAACTTGGAAAAAATACATGCATTGCTCAAACATGATTATCAGACTAGTTAAGCATGATCAGACTATATTCCAAACCGTAACCAAGCCATGCTACACTTGAACTCTGCTTGCTTGGTAACTCCTGCTAACAGAAATAGTATCTGGTAATGTAATTCTCAGATTATTTTCCTTTTGTTTTTAATAATGGAATATCACCAAATAACTGAATGATCTCACAAACCTCTTCGTTTCTCGTCTACCCGATTACATTTGTCTCTCACACATTGGGTCTACCTCTGACGTTCTAAGAAAAATGAGCAATGTACCTAGCTATTTGGGAGTAAGGTACAATAGCATTTTCAGTTATTGTACAATGAAAATTAGTATTTGTTTAGTTACTCATTTAATGCGAACTAGGGTCCCAAGGCTGACTGCAAAGATGAGGATATCAAGAGAATTGGTCCCCAACTTTCTGAATAAAGGATTTGGCTAATGAAAATAAGGTTCAGTACTGGTGGTGAGGTGATAACTGAAATGAGCACTCACTGACTTTGCAGATTAAGAAAGTGCCCACTGAAAAACTCCGTTTGGTACTGGTGACAAGAGTTCTGGATCATTCCTTGCAATTAAGAGTTGCCAAGCGAATGTTGAAGGACATAGGAAGATAAAACTGTACAAAAGAAGAACCCATGAAAACTCCACCAAAACACTGAAAAATTTAAGATGGTTAACGGGAAAAAAAAATACTAATTTCGAGAAATACAAAACCGATAATGGCTCATCTTGCGAAAAACACTACTAACTGCACACAATTGAACCACGCTGTACACACCTTCCAACCTACCCAGAAGTAGGAAGTATGTAGAGAACAATATGTGGACCAAGCAAGCTTAACAATGAAGAAGAGATCGACGCCCAAGGTCGTATCATGTGACCACTGGAATTCATATGAAATGCTTGTTACAGATCAGAAACATAAACACCGAGGTGAAACGTTTCTTTAGAATAATTCTACACACCAACACACCTATATAGTGCTAATGTAGAACTTATTCAGCATGCTCTCACATAAAAAAGATGTGTTCCTAAGAGCAAAGTCAAGAGTTTGAGCGGCGGAAAAACAAGACGAGGCTTACAGCAACTACTGCCACACTTCCAGCAATGATTGCCGTGTGCATGCTTGAAAAGCCTTCAGAAGTTTCCACTACCTGCACAGCCTTAGGGGCTGCCGTGATTTTTTTCCGTTTTGGCTCTTCCAAATGAAGAGTCAATGCCTGCATCAGCAGAGATTTCATCATCAGAAATTGTACAACGCCCAAGGAAGAAAAATGGGTCAAGTCCGTGATTGTCCTTGTGCCAAGCATGTTACATATGGTCTACGATCTATAATGTATACAAAACAAGACCACAAAAGAAGACCCACCTTCCATCCGCTAATGCGTGCAAAGTTGACAGCAGCCACAAGATCCGAGTCAGTGGCGAGCAGCACTTTGTCGCCTTCATCGTCCACATACTGCAATAGAATCATTCTCCATGACAGTAAGCGAGAAAGTAATTGGTGTGCACACTTCTAGACGTCAAAGAGAACACTACAAAATTTAGTCAAACAACCTTTGAATACTGGTGTAAATCCAAAAATTCACAAAACGCGAACATACCATAAGTCGGGATAGGTGAGTACGATCAATATCATGCCCAACACGCTGGGCTATCATGGACATAAGCTCAGTCAAGCTCTCAGATCCTGCAAAAGTACCATTAAAAATGCTTGAAACTCTGGAGCATTAACTACTGTGCACTAGACAAAGGTGTGTGCTAAACAATTTCGAGGATTCATCGCCTACTCAAATTTCTGTCTAATTTGGTGCTACTCCAAAAGTGCAATACCAATACCAAGGTAAAAAAAAATCCGATTATTGGAGATTAAGTGTTTCAAGCCCCACCGCAGTTGAAGCGATGGTTTTGCTCCGTTCCATCGCGACCCGTCACCTTGAGCTTAAAAGCGAATTGATTGCCTAGCCCAAATGAAGGATAGCTTGAATGTCTTTCCTGGTAGCCAGATTGCCTTTCTGAATACATATCAGACTGGCGAGCAGAAATATCACTGAAAACAAAGAGAAATCCTGATTATCAGATCAGGTATACACAAGCAAAACATAGAGAACTTACCCTGCAAAGAATCCAAAGTCACCCGCGGCCCACTGGAATTTGCCCTTCCGTACAGAAAGGTTACTTCCAGCTAATGGAAAAGCCATGGGAAAAACATATTCCTAAATGCAAAGCTATAAACATATCTAGCCTGAGACATTATTTTCTTGACCAGATGTATTTCCAAGTCAAAGGACATTCTCTCTCTCGGTTCATACGACTAAAACATGTTCCATCAGCCCAATGCCTGCACAAGATGGTCAAAATAGACGATCAGCACTGACAAACCTATGAGAATCGTCATCTTCTTCAGCTGGCTCCAGAGCTAAAGCAGAATCCCAGAATTTTTGTAACATGTTTGTTGCTTGATCAGCACCTCCACCAGCAGCACTTCCGCCACCAACCTTTCATAATCACAAATTCGCCAGCTTAATTAACATGAGAAAATATTTCCCTCAACGTGATAATTCTGAAAAGGATGACTTCAGCACTTACAGTTGCGACAGCACCATGCGTAAGCTGTAGAACATCCACACAGGCCACAATGTGTCCATCTATACACAACATACACAAATTGTGAGCTTACAGGATACAACGCTGACATAAGCTAGAACAAATTCTAAAACAATATGCGTAAGAGCTTATATTCAAAAACTACGAAGCTACTAACGTAAAGTGACGCGCTACTAACAAAAATTGAAGAACATTCTACATTCTTACCTCTGTCTGTAACCGGAAGATGGAGAAACTTGCCATCGTGCATGGTATGTAGTGCATCCACCAGAGTGGTATCCAAACCAGCACACTCAGGATTAGGTGTCATGACCTACATGTGAAACCCGATGACTTTAATTCTAACAAGCTATTGAAGGATAAGAACTACAACTCTTTAAACCTGACAGAAGCAGCTGCGTGTGACCTTTAATCAACAAACTGAAAACGAAGATCAGTCATCACATGATACTGCTGACGACATAATTGAAAAATGGGCTCTGAAAAATAACAGTGGAATAAAAACAATCAGGAAAAACCTTATCCAAAGTGGTCGTTTCAGGGGGTAGACCTTGCGCAACTACTCTCATTAAGACGTCCTTTGAGCTGTAGCCATCAAATCCAACACGGTGGTATTTCTGTAAGCAAGGTGACAAATATGCATCTCGGTCAACTAAAACGTATAAATACTTGTACAAGAACATGTTCATACTCTTCCAACAGAGTAGGACAGAATAAATGAAAGTATCGTGCTCTTACGTAAGAATGCCTGTTGGTTTGTTACTGGGCGAAACAATAATCACCGAGTTCATCCGGTTTTCCTTCATTTTTTTTGTGGCGGCAGTGACAGTTTCAGATGCTGAGCAAGTTGGCACTCTGCAGCACAAACCACGAAACTTGAGAAGAGCAATTCAGCATCAACTTATGTCGAAAATGCTCGAAACTGTAAAGAAAATCTTTGTACACAATAACCCCACAATACCACTCCACAACCAGATATTTGTGCTCGACAAAGAAGAAAATTATGAGGGAAAAGACTCACTTGGTTCCTTCTGGAATAATCGATCCCAAAGTAGGTCTAAACATCTTATCCCGAAGATTCTCGATAAAGCTTGACTTCTCTGGCATCAACAAGCACCCAACAACTCATAAGATTCTACGAACTCAATAAATAGCATCATAAAATGAAGAAGCAGATTAATATACAAATAAAAATATATTCCCCGGACTTGTACACGGTAAAAATTTCATAACATAAATTTTGTTAATTAAGATGCGTGAAAAACTCACCAGTAGCATTGTTGCCCCACTCACGCTCAACAGATTCAACAGCAGCTGCAATAGCATTGCCTTTCTCAGCAGCCCGCTCCATGCGAGCAATAGCATCGTAGAGACATTTTGTGATATCCAGAAGTGCAACAACCTCTCCATTCTCCACTACAGGCAAATGCCTGAACTTGCCTGTCACAAATTGAGATATAATATATGAGAAGCTGTCATCTTGCAATACACTAGGAATATATGGTTACGCTTATTTTCATGAAATTCGTAATGAAGTCAACCAAAATAGCCCGTAGATTCGAACATTGGATAGAGAGCATGAAAAACCTCATGTCTACCAATCTAGCTGAAATTTCAGATCAGACTATCTGAATTATACACGCTAAGGTTTTAACCTTTTACAAAACAAAAGTAATGAATAGTACAGCACCTTGAACCATCTTCTGTAATGCTTCCACTGCAAGAGTATCTCCCATAACAAAGACAGGATTCTTCGTCATGACCTTCGATACTGAGGTATCTTCAGGTCTAAGCCCTTCAGCAATAACTCGTGTAGCAACATCCTTCGACTCAGATAGTAATGACATTAAATGAGATCCAGAGGGAAAATATTCTCATGGCTTCTTGGTAACCAAAAAAATGCTAACAGAAACGGCACTAAATCCCCACAGTAGTAGCCGGAAGGCTGGGCATCAAGCTAGTCATCAGCACAAGTGACAAGACCCGAGACAAAGATCAATCGCCATCTGGAGAGATGTAATACACACAGTATGGAAGTCGAATTTTTGGATGTATTCAAACATCGATTCAAGCCTCATTACGCATTAACTTCAGGGTTTTTAAAACTAAGCTCGTAATACCAAACTAAAATGGTGCGATTATCAGAGGCAGTGACTGCAAACCATACCTTGTCTGTGATAATGCCACACAATAGCGCACTGGAATCAACAAGCAAGGCAGCATCCACCCGTCGAGTGGCCATTCGACGACAGGCATCGGCAACAGTACTGCCATCGGGGATGGTGAGAGCCTTCGACAACCTCAAACGTTTAACTGTCCGCTCTCCGGGCGGTCTGTGAATCAAGCATTTACGTATTAGATTTCCCTCGCCTTGTAATGACAAAGAAGGATCGCAGAGTAATAATTAAGACTGTTTGACATGCAATTTCCGTATTTCCTGTTCATTTCTTCCAAGATGTATTTCTAAGATGCCAACTTTTCGGACCACGTCATTTCACGCTACACGCAGCTGTACCAGATTGCAACTCTAAATATAAAAGGACACTTCAAACAGATTCAGCATTTTCAAGCGACAACGGCGCCTAACACTAGTACCAAAAACCGCTGGTGTTGAATAAACTTAACAAAGCTCAAGGACATCACACCTACGAGGAAGTAAATGCCCGAAAACTGCAGATGCTACATTGAGATCCGCTGATTCTATCCTCCAAAAACCCTAAAGATCTAACCACGCACGTCAGATTTATTGAGACGAGAGAAGCTTGAAGAGGTTCGTTATGGCGTCTGACATTTCCAGATCGAAGGGCGCTAGCAACGACATCAGTATTTATCCATTGCAAGAGAAGTGACGATCTTCTCAAAATAAAAGTCAATCACAAGATAATTGAACAGATAGGTAAACACGCACACAGATCGAGAAGGTTTGCGGGGAAGCGTGACGCCGTTTCCCAAGCCGCTCTTCTTCTGGCCGTTGAACGGGCCAGGTGTTGAGCCTGAGCGACCGCTCTTCTGTGAAGACATCGGGCGCTTCGTTGATGCTGTTGCCCCTCCTCCTCCTCCTCCTACTCCACCTTGAGAGCCTGTAGTGCTCATTATCAGTCTCCTTGACCCCTCCCCGTTCTTTTTGTAGGAACTGTCGTTTCCACAGGGCACGCTTTCTCACCGCCAGGCTGGGCACATCCACGCTCTCGTGCCTGAATACTCGCCAAGTTGCCCGCCCACTAAACCTAACACTCTCTATTCGGTAGTTCCTTGCTTCCTGTCACACTTACCGTAAAACTCTTTACCCTGCACCTCATCCAATTTCCAATTTAAGCTCTAGCTCATGACAAACCAGGCAACGACATTCATCACCGCATGCCTCTGCGCGTGCCCAGCCTAAACAGAACTTTACGATAGCTTCCTTCCATCAAGAACCGCACAACCAAGCCAAGTCTCAAAACCTATTTCCGATCTCTAAAATTACGACAAAGGCTATCAGGTTGGAGACAGAGATATGGAACTTAACTACCAAACTAGACTATCGCAAGAGAAGTTGCATAACGCCAACAATTCTAGCAAGATATGGCTCGTTTCAGAGAGCCGAGTGTGATCGGGAAGCAAGGGAAATCAGTAGACGAAAACTATCGCATGTGTGGCAGCTACAACCATCCCTAGTGCAACAGCAGGAAACTTCAAGCCTGTTGTTCTGATGATCGTGTCCATTTCTTTGTTCTCCTTTTTCTGGTGCGTTGTTCGAAGAAAATCGTTGCCTGCATTACGGCAATAACCTCGAATAGTTTTATTGACCAGACTTGGACGTCAACGTGGGACCCTTGCTACAGAACCCGCCCTTGCACACGAGACTTTCGCTGGCATGTGAAAAGGCTGTCTGTGGCTTAACACTTCGTTGTTCATTCGCAATCATCGACTACATTTCAATCGCTTCTGCACACTGTTTAACAACCAAGCTAGCTCATCCTGGTGTCCTCAAACAGCGGAGTGCAAATTAAGAAGCGGTACTACAAACTAAGCTGGCCAACACTATGAAACTGCTTCACTCCCTCATTAAAAGTCGCTGAGTGCTTGCCATCGCCAACTTCACAGAAATTCATGGGATTTTACAGCTTGCAGCAACGTTGATGGGACATTGAGAATCAAACTTCGACGTGCTCAACATTGCGAATATGTCACATCAAACAAATCAGGGCTAGTTTAATAGGGTTAATAACACTTCACTGGTGTGCATTTGTAAACATGTTCATGTTGGTTTAACGTTGAATTATCCAGTGATATATCTAGCATTGTTAGATCATCGAGAACTGCTCAGCTCTTTTAGTATGAGATGAAGTACAAAATCACAGTTCACAAATTTTCATGTGTAAGATACAAGAGGAAATTCGTTCCTGATCTCAAAATACAAAGATGAATTCAAAACATATGCGACAAACGTGAACAACGTGACAGTATGTCATGAGCTCCAGAACAGAATGAGCTCACGTGCTGCAGTGCAAAAATCTAGATGTCACCGATATACTATTGCCCTTGTTTCAGGTCTCGAGAGTTATCAGTAGAGTCAACGACAACTCTGTTCAATAGGTGACAACAGCTTAGAGCGGTCATGTTCGTTACACTGATTTAGAGTGGTACTGCTCAATCATACGAGTTACTCTTGCTCCTGCATTGCTCACTGCTGGATTTTTTTGCTAAGGGTGGATCAACATACCCGGCCAACGTCCTGCAATTTGCTTGGAAATGTGCAAAACTATCATGTCTACACTCTGTTGCGCGCCGATACATTAGAGGATACAGACTATCCTTGGTAGCAAATGAGATTATCCACTCAACGTGCTTGGTGAAGATCACGCACTACGTTCTCCATGCAATAGGCAACATTATTGACCACAGCCTCTACTGACCATGCACTTGTGTCAGTGTAAGTACGAACGTCAGCCCGATAGAGTTGGGTTGTATGTTTTAGTGCGAAGAAGCAACATCAGCTTGGACGAGAGGTGCGTGAAGGATGGCGTTCGTGAGTAATATCAGTCATCTACGAGCCAGAGAGACGAATTGTCTCTCAAAGATCTTCATTGCGATTTATCCTACCCTGTTGTGATTCAGGAGTATCAGGTTCATACAAACAGCTAACAAGGAGTTTTTGCATTAGAATCCGCATGCCATCTTTACTCATCCTCAACAGAGGCATTCAAGTACAAAATCGTCATTTGTAATCCTCTACAGAGCGATGGGTGCGAAGGCCTATCAGTACTAATGCATCCGTGAGGCTAGCAATGAATGTAGACTTCCTCGTGTGCGACCCAAGCCTTATGGCTAGCCGAAGCCGCTGGACAGCCTTCTTCAGAGATCTACTTGGATCTTTGCCTCATCTTTCGGCGCTTACGTTTCAGGCGCCTCATGCGTTTTTTCTTCCACTGCAAATGTACACAACATATAATCAGTACGTATGAATAGCATTTCGATATTCTCAGCATTTATCTGGAGTAAAAGTCAAAATAAACCCTAGGCTCTCAGCGATAGAATATTAAGACACTGATATATACAACTACGAAATCTGCATGATTTATAATCGCGCACGGCATCACGCGAGCCACTGTCGGATGGACTCGAAGGGGAGCATCGTAAGGTATACCAATACTTTGGGGCTTAAGTACAGGCATCACCGGCACAAACAGCAAATAACCCTAACCCCGAAAAGAAGAAGATTTTCATTATTTCTCACATCTTGTCAGAGATGAACGCGTTGTATCTTTCGGTTAGCAAAATGTGCTCAGTAGTGTGCTCAACGAGAGAACAAAGGTCCTCAAAAGAAAGATTAACGAAATCTAAGCAGGTACGAAGGAAACCCACAGCGCTACAAATGGTATAAAATAGAGCAATGAGTTTGCAAAATCAAATAAACTCACAACGAAGGACAAAGCAAAGCACAATCAGAATCCTACTCAACACATATACTCCGAAACAGTTCTTGTCGCAATAGAGCAGAACGTCGACAAATACAGAGAAGATGAATAAAGGAGCCAGAAAGCTACTAACCTTCGCCCTCATGGTTTACGGAACTCTTCTAAGGATGCAAGTGCTAAGCAGATGAGAAGCCGCAAGAAGTAGGTCACGAAAGAGAAGCCAGGTATTCTGAGGGAATGTATATAAAGCCCTAGAGCCTCAAACCCTAACGGGAACCATTGGGTGTGCTGCTCCTGACTCGCGGCTGCGGCTGCGGCTACATAGTTTGCGACGATATTTTTTGTAGCAGCGGTGCTCTCCCTCTGTCGATTGAGTGAAATGGTAACTAAGGATTATCACGAGTTAAATATTCCTTGAAAACTCAAACTATATCTTTCTGAAATAAATAATGCAATTTTAACATGGGTGTATTGGAGTGTGTAGATATATCCAAACAGAAATCAGGTAATAAAATTGGAAATATTTATTTAAACCTCTAAGAAAGTTGATATTTTGGTTCTTTGAAAACTTTGAAATACATTTATTATATAAAACAACTTGAGTATAACACAAAGAGACAAAGAAATCTTTTGATTGGAACAAGGGGAATGTAGGGACACACGGAAATATTGAAATGAAGGAGTATAGATGAACAAAGAAATGGATGGATATGCTGGAGATTGTGGTCGCCCAACATCATTGATTTCTACTAATTATATATGAAAAGAGAAATATGATTTTATGATTGAAACCATAGGTTTAACATTTTAAAAGTACTAAAAAATTATATTTAAAAAACATAAATTGTAATGATTATGTCAAACTACAATATTTAAAAAACTAAAAATAGAAACTTCAAACAGAAATAGACATTGTAAGAATTGAACAAATAATATAATACCAAAAAAATATATAAGGTGATACAGGATTGTAAGTGGTTTTGTAGATGGAGCACACTTCAATGTTTTATTGTAAAACAAATGAAATACAACAACAAATCAAATCATGTCTTATTTCTTAGTAAACTTTTATATTTAAATAGATTAATGACAAAAACAAAGTTAGGAAGGTTCTTTTATCCAAGGCCATTAGCCTTCAAATATATATTGGATTTTTGTTTTTGGAGTATATATCCATAAAAGAAAGTAAAATGATATTTAATTGATAAGATAAAAAAAAAAATATTTATAAATTACATATCAATAAAAGAATTAATTTTTAAAAATAAAAATCAAGAAAATTTTATAATTTTAGCTTTTTATAAGTATAAATCATAAAGAATACATTTGCAAAAGTTGTAAAATTTGATGTAATTTTGAATATGTAAAAAAGTGATAAATTAATATATATCATTAATAAATAAATAAAAGTATATAGTAAATTATATTTATATTATTTTTTATTTAATTCTTTAAATAATTTATATATATATAATTTTAAAGATTTTAAACACAAAAAATATAAGTTTTTGATAATTTATTTTTAATAAATTAGTAAATAATCATATAAGTGTCATTAATAATAAGAAAAACTTAAGATTTTAAATAACAAAAATTATTAGAATTTATAATAATTTATACAACTGATGTGCAATGATATTGTGTTAAGAATGAAAACTTGATAAAAATAAATAAACATAATAAGATGTATATTAAAAAAAAATGACAAAAACAAATACAAAAGATATATATTCAAAGAAAAATTGGAATGACCATTGGCAAAGATAAGAAGACTATAGATTCTTGAAATTAGACTAGAAGTAAGAATGATATTGACAAGAATGTGTCACAGACATGCATATATATTCCAATAACTACCTAAATAATATGAATAAGTAGAAATAGATTAACGTAGATAAGTTTGAAATATCTTGCAAAAAAACTTTCTAAAAGCTTTATAGATGCAATTTTGACTTTACATGTATTTGTAGTTGATTGATAGGTTAAAAACTTGGCCAATAACTAAGGCACATATTGCATATGTTGGTAGCTTGTGGTACAAGCTAATTATGTGGTGTACATATAGAAAACTTGTCTTATAAGTTAAGACACATATCTTATAAGTTGGAAACATGTCAAAGGTCTTATAGAATGTCAACACTTAATTTCTAGTCAAATAATATATATGGAGGCAAGAGTGAAGTCTTTTTCATTCTTATCAACACCTTTCTAATCCTTAATTTTGTTTGAAGACTTTTTAGTCTTCTTGTCTTTGGCAATAGCCATTATAGTTTAATATCATACGATCTTTGAATGATTTTCTAATCTTCTCAAGTGACACAAGAATATATTAATCTTTTAGACTTTTGAGATTCATGTTGTTGAAAAAACGTGAAAGACTTCATTTATGCCTCTACAGGTACAACCTAACTAAAGAGCTAAGTTGCATTGTTCTATAGATCATATGACATGTGTCCAACTTGTATCAAGGACAAGAATTTTAAAGAAAGAAATCCTCAATATGTTCTTGTGTCACTGAAAAAAACTAAAAAGTCACTCAAAGATAATATAATATTGTACTAGAATGGCTATTGCCAAAAACAAGAAGACTAAAAAGTCTTGAAATAAGATGTAGAACTAGAAAGGCATTGACAAGAATTAAGAAGGCTTCACTTTTGCCTCCATATATATTCTTAACTAGGAGCTACATAGCAATGTTCTATAGGACCTCTAAAACGTATTGACTTCGTAAGATACATATTTTAACTTGCAAAGCAAGTTTTCTATATGTGCGCCACATAGTTAACTTTTTTTCTATAAGCTATCAGCATGTGTTTAACTTGTTGACCATGTTTCTAACCTATTAATCAATTACAAATATATGTAAAGTCAAATCAGTATCTATGAAGCTTCTAGGAAGCTTTTCTAGAAGATATTATGAAATTAACCTACTTTTATCTACTTTTACCTACTTCTACCTAATTATTTAGGTACTTATTAGAATACATATGTATATCTGTGACAACTTGTAAGACATATGTTTAACTTACAAGGCAAATTCTCAACATGTGGAATACATGGCCAAATTGTTAGTCAAGTTTTCAACCTATCAATCACCTATAAATACTTGTAAACTCAAATCCAAGTCTTTAAAGCTTTTCATTAAGATATTATCAAATTAACATATTTTTGCATATTTCTACATATCTCTTTTTATCTTCCTAATTATTAATATCAATATTAATGTTTGTAACAAATTACAAGTATTTAGTGATTTTATAAGTATTTATTATGCATCAAATAATTATAAAGTTTTGAAGAAAAATTTATCCACAAATATAGGTATTGAATTACAAACAAGTTTAATGAATACCTCCACATAATCTAATAAAATATATTTTTTTAGAAAAATCAAAATCAATCAATATTTTTTATCATCAATATTAGAAATTTTAATCATAAAATAATAGAATATTTTTTTATTAAAAATTAAAATTATTATAAAATTATGTTTTGTTACAAAATCATATTATTATGATAGTTGATTTTTATTTCACAAATTCAGATTCTTTACTTCATAGTTCTTGTAATTTGTAAATTATTTAAAATAAAATTTCACTGGTTTTTAATTTGATAACTAATGCAAAAGGTTTATAAATCCATTCTTCACTAATGCTCAAATGTCTTCTTTCAATCGAGTCATTTGGAGCCGATAACGGTGCTGGAATTGGGCTCCTATCCCTGGTGGCAGTTAAGGTAGCTACCGGTTGACAGCCGGTTTGGTGTAGGAAGTTGTGTAGCTTTACTCTCCTTGGTTTGTCATCGATCTCGTTCTATGTCAGATTCGACGTAGGATTTCGGATGTGGAGAGCGTTTAAGAAGACAACGTCGAAGAATTTCAGTTGTTGTTTGAGGTTCTTTGATCAAGAACAGGTTCTTTGGCAGTTAATTTCGTGCTGTGTGTCGTGAGCGGGAGCAGGAGGAGGAGGGAGGAGCTGCAGGTGGAGGTTGCATGGATGTAGAAAATGTAGAACAGAATTTGTAGCCAGGGTAGGAGGAAGGTTGAACCCTGGGCACAATACAATGAGTAGCGGGACTGGCTCGGAAGGGAGGGTGGGAGCCATAGATTTAGCTAAGCGCTCAATTTCGTCTCGAAGCTATGCTCGCTCGGTTTCTGCAACTGTCCCGTCCGGTGATCTCCTCCTGAAGAAACTTTCTCAAGGCAACGGCACAGTGATTCCTCGCTGTCGGTCCAGATCAGTGTATGATATTTCAAGCTCTACTATTTTGTAAACGTTTGAGATTTGTTCATTGCAGTAGAAACTCAGAGGAGAATCCGTTTTTTTAGCAGGCTCTGGTTAAGTTTTCAAGAATCTTCGGTTTGCGAGTTAGTGCAACGGAAAGAAAATTTTGTAGTTAGTGTTCACTATCGGCTCTTCCATCCACCACGATTCCAGGTCGTGCATCGTAGTTATTGTATCTTGTCTCTTGTATTTTTTAGTTGGTTCCGTGGTAGTTTCGTGTGTTTCTGGACGTTCGTTATCTCTTTTTCGAAATGCGAAATTGTTATTTTCCGTTCCGTCTGGTGTAGTGTATATGTCTTTACCACTTGGTTGAGATCTACCGTGCAAAGCGTCACCGACAGACTGAATAATTAACATGGAAATTATATACAAGTATGTGAATTTGCCAACTGTGAATTCTGAAGTTGAAGTATGTGCAATTTGAGCTGTTTATTGACATATGATTATAATTTTTTTGAGTTGATGATTATCTGCTCTCTTCTGTAGATGGTTTGTAAAGTAATTCAGATATTTAGATCGATAGGATCAGTATGATATGGCTTTCTGAGTCAGTATCCTGTCTGCGACTCTGTATGGAATTTATTTATGAGAAAGATTGAATCATGGCATCCTGCTGCGTTTGGTTTGATAAAATGACTGCTTGTTTTACTCATCGTGGTTGGCGTATTCATCGACCGAAGGCATCTGAACTGGAGTGTCATGCTATCAAAGCCAGTCTTAAACTTTTGCTACACTCATTAACTTTTTAGGGAATTTTTTCTGGGTTGTTTGGGCAATAAAGTAAAGTCTTTAGAGTTCACAATAGTGCCTTGGTTTGTATCAGTCAAATGTAAACTCTTTATCAGTGTATGATTATTGAAGCAAAGACTGAATTCATGATGATTTTTCTGGTTTGACTCGGCTGATAATCTTGCCTGTGCAAATTTTCAAGCTATGCGCAAATTTCAAACTGTAATCTATGTCTGCTTCACATTCACCAAAGATTTCTGGTCCATTTCTAGAGGCAGTTCAAGTTACTTGTAGCTTATAGCTAGGTATGGGACTTGACTTGTGAACTGTTGATATCTCGAAGTTCAACGCTCTATCTTTTATCTTGAACTTTGGATGTTTGTGGAGGGTTATAACTATGAGAAAGATCACTTCGTGTGCCTCACGGCAAGTCCTTCTGGCGTCTCTCGTATTACTTCAGAGTTTCAGGGGAGCGCACTGTCAAACGATTGAGGCTGTCAAAGGCTCTCACCATTCCTGATGGCACCACTGTGGCGGATGCCTGTCGTCGTATGGCCACTCGACGGGTGGACGCAGCCTTGCTTACTGATTCTAATGCGCTTCTTTGTGGTATCATCACGGATAAGGTAAAATCTTAAGCTCCTGTTTAGTAAATATTTGGTTTCTATAAATGTAGACATAGTTTGCATGATTAATAGTGATCTTAAACATCTAATTGTAGAGAATATATCTTCATGCGAAGGTGCTTTTACATCTTGCAATTCTGTGAAATAACCAAGTGGTTTGTCGCTGCAATCCCTCTTGCATTCCACGTGTGCAATGATTGCCCTGCGGCATTTTTCTTGTTAAGAGTGCATATGCGTAATTTCTATGAACCTTATCTAAGAATCAAAGTTAGATACATATTTTATACGGGATATTCAAATTTGAGTTGCAGGATGTGGCGATTAGAATCATTGCAGAAGGATTGAAGCCGGAAGAGACATCTGTATCAAAAGTGATGACAAGGAATCCTACTTTTGTAATGGGCGACACTCTAGCTGTCGAAGCTCTACAGAAGATGGTGCAAGGTGAAAAAGTTTCTTCTTCAACATTTTCCAGTTAGGTTTACACGTCTTGCAATTTTCATTTTGTGATTTCGATCTTGTTGTGCAGGTTTGGTCGCAATGTTCCACACCCTTCTTCTCTCTTTTTTTTTTTTTTTTTTTTTTTTTTTTCTTTTTTCTTTTTTGTGATTTATTGCCTCAACTTTCAGCCAATAATTTGTGCTTTTATAGATTAGAATTATTATCTTTTTAAAAAGTGGATTCGGTCACACAAGCTTCGTTGAAGGTAATTGTTGAGTTTTTACAGGAAGATTTAGGCACTTGCCTGTGGTGGAGCATGGGGAGGTTGTTGCACTGTTAGACATAACGAAGTGTCTGTACGATGTTATTGCTCGCATAGAGCGGGCTGCTGAGAAGGGCAATGCTCTCGCAGCTGCTGTGGAATCTGTTGAGCGTGAGTGGAGTGTTAAGGGTTCAGGTGAGCGCGGAATTTGTCCCCCCCCCCTTTCATTTTTATATACTTGGGATGTCATGTGACAACTGCATAAACTGGCTAATTTCGGATTCTTAGATCCCGTTAGTGCTCGGCTAAAGGATGCTGTAAAATGAGCGCTCAGACAACCTAGGTTACTTTGCTGAGGTTCTGTGTAATTTGCAAATCTCATATATATATATATATATATTGAACCTAACAGACTGCATTTAACCTCACAGGATCACCCACTAGTTTCATGGCTGGACTAGTCGTATGAGGTTCTTGTCTGTTTGAAGGGTATACGTAAACACCACTAATATTCAAGAACCCTCAACGTATTAGAATTACCTCAATCACACAGAGGACGAGCTTATAAAGCAAAGGCATTGGTGATCGCATTAATTAGTCTTCGTCAGGATCTCGATCTTGTAGTCATAGTATGTTTTACTTTCATTTCAATAAAAAAAGCAGATGATTTCACAGGCTTGTTTCTTTATTCTTGCGCACTGGGAAAATTAACTATTTGATTTATACAGATGAATCAAATTTTATTCAGAATTTGCGTGATCGAATGTTAAGACCAACTCTACGATCCTTGATTGCTGAAGTGGCGAGGTAAGTTTCAGGGGAGTTGGATATACTAAAATTTTCATATCAATAGTTGGTTAATGGAGACAGAAAAATAATTTGGTGCGGTTTTTTAATCTTGGGACTCACTATTAGGATATGTGCTATTTTGGCAGTGTGCCTACGTGTTCACCATCTGAAACAGTCACGGTTGCATCAAAGAAAATGAAAGAGCAGCAGATGAATTCAGTGATTATCACTTCGTCCTGCAGCAAACCGATTGGAATCCTCACGTAAGGGTTTCTGGAGCTCTTGATCATTTAACATTGTTCTCAATGATAAGCCACTGCTTTTAAATAAGATATTGTTATTTTACTTTATTTTACCTATTTTTGTTTTGTTTTTTTCTTTTGATGTTTAATTTGATGGTTATTTTGATGTATTCTTCGTTCTATTATGTTCCAAGTCACTGTTGAACATATAATCAAATATGGTAATATATGGATAGTTTTCTTCAGCTCAAAGGATGTCTTGATGAGAGTTGTTGCTCAAGGCTTACATCCTGAGACGACCACTTTGGATAAGGTCCGATGTGCTAACATCCACTGTGCTTTCTATGGGTACCGATTTGAATGGAAAGGCGAAGGCCTTGAAAATGAGAAAGTTCTTTTTAATTTTACTAGTGCAATCATATGCTTGTTCGTGATCCTGGCAGCTGTCATAATTTTGAATTGAAGGACCTATGCAGGTCATGACACCCAATCCTGAGTGTGCTGGTTTTGATACCACCCTTGTGGATGCGCTTCATATCATGCATGATGGCAAATTCCTCCATCTTCCAGTTACAGATCATGGTAGACATTGGGCTCCCCTTTTCTGCATTCGAAAGTGCAAATTGCGGGTGAAAAGTTGTGCATGATTAGTTTGTCTTTCCGAATTTCCATGACATCTTTGATCTTCAGACTGCTTCTATTTTTTATCAATTGACAAATTAGGAATACTTGGCTTTCGCAGTAAGCAGTCATATTCGAAATAGTAATCGTGTGAAACTTTGGAGAATGATGTACAGATGGGTTTGTGGTGACATGCTTGGATGTCTTACAGCTCACACATGGAGCTGTAGCGACTGTAAGTGTTATCTGGTACCTCATATACTTTCAATGATCAGAATTTATAGTTCAAAATCAAACTACCATTTGCATTACCTCGTCAGTGATGTAGTCACTCGTTGGTTCTTTGTTTCCGATTATGCCAATGTAGAAGGCTCCATGCTTCTGGCAGAGCAAGTCTGACAGCATTGTGTCATTGTAAAATCCACCGCACAAAAAGCATCTCTAATTGCCAATTTAGCAAAAATGTGTGCTTTTAAAAAATCATAATTGAGTAGACCTATGTGGGAAATAATTGGCTTCTAAAACATTATTGACAACGCTGCCAGGCTAGAGGTGCTGGTAGTGGAGGTCAGGATATGGCAACAACGATGCTACAGAGGTTCTGGGACTCTGCTTTAGCTCTAGAACCAGCTAAAGAGGGTGACGATTCTCACATGTGAGACTTGCAATTTGATTTATTGAATTTACTTAGCTATTCTTTCATTTGAATTTTAATGATGCATGGATGGAACCAAGTGCCACTTTTGACGTGTGCGCAATCACACGTTTATCAGATTGACGTGTGCGCGATCGATTGCAGTGATACCTCTGAACGCCAATCTGATGTCTTTTCGGAAAGAAAGTGTGGCTATCCGACCTTTGGGCCTGGCAATACATTCGCTTTCAAATTGAAAGTAAATTCTCATAATGGAAAGGTTGGCCACTACCGATTCAACTGTGGTAAGTTTCGAAACCTATTTCTCTCACAGGTTTGAGAAATATAATTGATATTTTAACGTTGCGATTGATAGTATGTGCTTTGTTCTTAGGTCCTGCAATGGTTTTGGTCGAACGTTACACCTATTTTTGAGAACTAATGTGAGCTCGCACCATAATTTCAGGTTCTGAGAGTTTGAAAAATCTCATGACTATGATTGTACAACGTGTTGGTGATGATATAGATCGAACTCATCTTCCTCTACTTATGGTACGTTGGATGTTTGATTTCCACAGAAAGTTTCTGGATTGAATGTCTATCTCATTTAAATGGAATCACTCCTTAACCAGCTCGTGGTCATGGTTGTCAAATGTATGATGGCAGTATGTTGATGATGAAGGTGATGAAGTGTTACTTGCCACCGACTCTGATCTCGTGGCTGCTGTCAATTTTGCTCGCATTAGTGGGTGGAAGGTGAGTTTGGAGTCCATTTTAAAACACGTCAAGTTGGGAATAACACACGATGCCTTGAATTAAAACTTTCTTGAACCTCGCTTTTTGTTGAGTACTTTAGTCCCTGGATATTAAGAGGTCAGTAGCACTTGATCCTAATATCCATTGAATTGCTTAGATATATCTAATGAAGTCCTGTTTTCAGGCTTTGACACTTCATCTAGAAGAAATCCGAATCAGGAAGGCTATTTCTGCGAACCGAACTTCATCAGTGAAGAACAGCAAGGGCTGGTCTACACTACATGCTTCATTTTTGGTTTGCACAGTGGCAGTTGCACTCAGTGTGGTCTTTTATATCCATCGTACCAACACTTAGCACCCAAACTGAAGGTTATGCAGAATTAGGTTCATCTGCTCAGAAGAGAGATAGAAAAGACTTGAGTATTAGTGTGCATTTCTACGAGTTTGCAAGAGTACAATAGAGGTTTAGGTGAGAACTTAAGTTTTGGATGGGGAAGAATTTAATTTTGATTGTGGATTAACTTTAACAACAGATAGCATCTTCTGTTCCTAGTCTTGGTGATCTTCCAGGTCATTACTACCATGGCTCATAGACCACAAACCAATAGTCAAAAGAGTAACTTGGACACAAACAATCTTTTGACTATTGGTTTATATAACCAGAAGTCAAAAGTACTTGTTTGCACAACCAGAAGTACATGAGGTCTACTTTCTATTCTAATCACAAGTTCACCAATTTTTTTTTAGGAGTTTGTTTATATTTTTTTTAATTTGTTTTACAGAAGATTGTTTTGGATGATTAGACTTATATCAAAAACACTTGTCATATAAATCTCTCACAAGTTTTTCAAAGATGGACATCTGTTGGATTATTCAAATTAAATGTAATATTTTGACACTTTTGAAATGGTCAATTTTCTAGCATTCATACCATTTTAGTTTGTAAGTGTTGACTTGTTTGATTTTAGTCCATTTTAATTTGTTTTTGAAAAAGAGATTTTTATTTTTATAAAGTCTTGATATAATATCTTGTCTTGGTTGTCTTACTTTAGATTTTTGAAGATAATCTTGTTTCTTCTTTAATAATTTTCTTGTTTTCTTTTTATCCATTTCATCTAATTTGGAATTTTAGTCTTTTATTTATCTTTTTGGTATAATCCATCTTGCTAAATTTCTATGTCTTTTTTTTTCTCTATTCTAATATCTTTTGTATAAAATTTCTAAATAAAACTTCTTAAAGAATTAAAGATTTTTTTATTTTAATATAAAATTTCTAATCTTTATGCACATTTTTTTGTAAGCATAAAATATATATATATATATATATATATATATTTATAAATACCACTTTTTTATCTTTTAATTATATTAATTTATTTTATAAAATTCCTGTAATATATTTATAGAAAATATTATAATACTTATTATAGAATTTTAAAATTAAAATTCAATATTATGTTCTAAATAAAATCAATTTTAATTTATATTACTCAAAATTTATTTGATTAAAGTTTGATAATCCAAGTTATTAAAAATAATAATATAAAATAACATAAAAATATATTTATTATTATTTAATATATATATTTAAAATTAATTTAAAAATAATATGTTTCAATTCTCTAGACTCATAATATTCACATCATATGCAAGATCCATTCTTATGGCTATTATTACATATGTAAGTGAGCATATTATTGTCTTATATAAAATACTTTAAAATTTATCTATAACTTTGACAAATTCCTCATCCTTAAGCTTCATTAACTTCAAGTTTGTCTCAAGTAATATTCTTATTTGGATATGATATTTGTATTATTTACACATATAGAGATGTAATTGGAGTTGTTTTTGAGAAGTTTCTAGAATTGAGGTTAGGATAGTGGTTCATGTAGAACCCACCATGGAACCTTTTAGAAAAGCTTAGGGTGGTTATCATAATAGGGCCTACCTTTAGAATCTTTTAGGAAGGCGATTATGTTGGTGGGGCCTATTATTTGAGACATTCTAAAAAGTTCTAGGATAAGTTGAACAAAATATAAATAGGATTGGCTAAGGCCATTTGGATATTTGGTCAAATATGGCTTCAAACACTTTCTCTTAGTAAAGTTTGGTTGTTTTTCTTATTTCGTTCTGTTTGCTTCTATTTGGTTCTATACTCTTTTACTTAGTCATGACTTTCATGTTCTATTCCATTTAGTTTTTTTTAGTTCTTTTTTCGGTATGCTTGGTCTTATATTGTGTTGAGATCTTTGTTGTTATGGATTTGGTAAGGTTTTAGACCTTAGAGAATCCAGTTCTGTTTTATTATTAGTTTGTACTCTTTTATGTCAAATTGTTTCAGCTCATTTTTCATGTATTTGTTTAGGATCATTGTCATGGTATTATTAGTATAATTTTTATAAATTAAACACCAATGCAATAGTGTAGCTTTTTTAAATTATTTATTTTATATTCTTTTTCTAAAATGACCTTCATAAAATCCATCTTTTCTATATTGTTAATTAAGATGATTAAATTATCAACACAAAAAGACTAAAAGAAGGTAGAATTCTTTATATTGCATTACATGGAGGGAACAATCAATCTCACTTTTTATAAAGCCTTTATTAACAAAGAATGTATCAGTGCATTATTACTATGCTTTTGATAATTGTTTGAATCTATATAAGGATTTCTTTGACTAATACGTAGGATATTTTTTGTCTTGTTATACAAATCCTTGAAATTAGTTCATATATATCTTTTTATACAATTTTACATTCAAATATCTTTACATCTATTTAATGCATTAAATTGATTACTAGTCTAATTTCTATAATAATTTTAATGGTGGTGAATTTTACAATGAGTACATAAATCTCATTGAAATCAATGGCAACTAATCTTATCTTAAGCCTCAACACTACAACCATTATATCTTTTTGGTTCTAAATACTTACTTACAAGCAATGCTAGATTAATTTGTTAGAAGATAAGTTAATTTTTATATTCTATTGTCTGTGAAAAATTACTACTCTTCTTCTATATTCTTCTCCTATTTGATTCCATATTAGAACTTTATAACATCATATAAAGTTATTAGATCAATAAAACAAAAAATATTTGTATATTCTTCACATACTTGAGAAAAAATGTGATTCTTCTATCATTCATTATCTATATATATATATATATATTTTAAGAAGTTTTTATTTTTTTATTTTTTTATTTTTTTATTTTAATAAGTAGTTTGATCTTCTTAAACCATGTTGTTTCAAAGAAGTTTTTTTTTTTTTTTTTTTTTTTTTCTTTTTCTTTTTCTTTTTCTTTTTCTTTAAAGATATCTACTTTTAATTTAAAGTTGATCTTCATATATCACATCTTCTTTCACTTATAATTTGTCTTTTTTGGTCTTCCAAATTGATAAAGCCGTCTCTTAAGAAGTGCTAAGTTCTTTATTTGATGTCATTATTTTTTATTCTTCTTCTTTATCTTCTTCTTTTACTTCTTTAGAAGATGTATCTACAAATATATTTTTATTCCTATTTGGGTATATCTCCAAGTACACATAAATACTTTTGTGCTATGAAAATTCAATATTACAACTTTTGATGAACTTCTTGATGTCCAAATACATTAGTTTATATACCTTGATACCTTTATAATACTCCAAGAATAAACACTTTGTATTTTTTGTATCAAGTTTGGATTTCATATAATTTAATATCTTTCGATGTCCAATGTATCTAAAGGTCCTTGTATATAAAACACAAGGTTATCTTCCACTCCAAGCTTATTTTGGTTTCATTAATGTAAGAATATTTTTTGGATACTTATTTCTTATATAAAAAATATTAAAAATGGCTTCCCATCAAAATTTATAATTAAAGTTTGGAAAATGAAGCATTTCCATAATAATATAATTTATCCAATCAACAAAACTATTTTATTCTATCAAAAACACCATTTTATTCTCAAGTATATAGAATTGTGGTTTGTGTAGGAATTCTTTTATTATTCAAAAATATAAAAATTAAATTTCTTAGTTATATATTCACTTTTCATTACCAACATACAACATCTTAATTTTAGACTCATTTTATTTTATTTTATTTTATTTTTTTAAATAAATGCTTTAAAATCCTGAAATATCCTAAAATATTATCTCTTAATTTTAAAAATATGGATCTAGATTGTTTTAAAAAATCATCAATAAAAATAAAGAAATATATTTTTTCTCTCATACATATAGTCTTCATAGGTTAACATATATTAAAATGGATAATCTCCAACAACTTAATATTACATGTTTTTACACCACTTAAAAAAGAGACTATTTGATTTTTTCTTTGTGTGCATTTTTTACATCCAAGATGCATTATATTTTCTATAGATTTGAGCATTTTGTTATACTTCACATATAAATAACTAAAGAAAAAATTTCATATACAAAACTTCTTTAAGTATAATTGATATAATACAAATTCTTTAAGTAACTAAAGAAAAAATGTCATATACAAAACTTCTTCTATTCTATTGACTTTTTTGTAATTGATATAATACAAATTTCCTTTATTAGAACTTGCAATAACTATATTTCTATCTGATATTTTTATTAAACATCCATTCCCGCTAAAATAAACCATAAAGCCTTCTAATACAAGTTTATTCACCAAAATAGGTTTTGCTTCATCTTAGATACATAGAAGACGTCTTTAGATTACTTTGTTGGTTAAAGTAGCTATTGCTACCTTGACATAAATAGAGTGCTAAATTTTTACTTTGAAATTTTATTTATTTATTTATTTTTCCTCTTCATCACATCATTACTAAAATTTATTGTCAATAATTTATTGTGAATTCTTTCATTATAATAGATTCCAATGATGTAATGAAGTAGTTGTAAGATTCCAAGATTCTATTATAGGACATTTTAAAGGTTCATGTAGAAAGTATTTAAAAATATTTAAGCATTAAAAAATAAAAATACTTAAATAAATTTGACTTGAGTGGAATGATTGAAAAAATATAAGTATATTTATAATAGATATTTAAGTATTTTCTTGGATATATATATATATATATATATATATACACACACACATATTTTGGAATCAATAATTGGATTGGTCTAATATGTATTTAGAAAAACTAGCCATAATTTTTAATTTGGCTTATTGAAAGTACAAAAATATCATTTGGTTGTAAAGATTATATGGTAAATAATTGTATAATAATAATATTTTTTTAAAAAATTACAATTACTAATTTAAAGATAGAATAGAACATATTTAAAATATACTTTATATCTATATTCTACAATAAATAATAAAGATAAATAAAAAATTAATTGTATTTAATTGACCATGGCTAAAACAATGCATGACTATTAGATACAAATTGTAGTCAACTCCACAATATAATTTATGTAATGTTGTTGCATGATTGAAATGAAGCAAGGCATGACTTTTGGATAAATTGTAGTCAACTCAACAAAATAGATTATATAGTTTATATAATGTTATATAATGTTGTTGTATGATTGAAATTCAAAAAATTGCTCATTGCCACCCTTCTCTATGCTTGCTCGACTAAGAATTTATGCCAATATGGTATACTTTTTGACAACAGCAAATGAGATGATAAAATCAAAATATACTTTATCTCTAGAAAATATAGTCATGCACATGCACATCACACGTCAAGAATAACAAATGTAAAAAAGGATGGTAAAGTTTAGAGCTGAGAAGAAAGAAGCAATAAATCAATGCATTATGCATAGGATCCTGGGAGTCAACCGCAAGCGTGACGAGGGATTTGCAGCAGATACGGTTGATTGCTGTTGCTGCACTTCAGTTCGTACAGAGTTCCGGCCTTCGCTTTTCCACTGCCTCGCCGCCCTCGTCTCTTTTCGTAGACTTCAGCATCAGGAGTGCAGCAGTTCCTGTACCATTCGGACCCGTATTAGCTCCAACTCGGAGAACTCAAACCCATATCAAGGAATTGGGAGTTACCGAGCATTGAAGTGTGGCCGTTTACTACAAGAAAAACGGAGTTCAGTTGACTCCAGATCCCCCAGGAGCACGCCATCATGCACAGGGTTCTCGTTGCAACCGAATCAACACTGGCTACAGACAATGCACTAATCTATCACGGTTACTTAGGGGGCAGCTCTCGAGGTGCATCGTGGCGAGCTTGAGGCAACGTTCTTTCGCGAATTCAGTGTGCAACTCACACGTGCACGGTGGGAGTCGATGTTTCCCCCGGTCCAGAGATCAGGTACACACAAGAGGTATCGGTGTCGGACCCTCACCAGCACTTGCTACTGCCGGAGCTTTTTGTTTCTCCGAGTGGGCCTTATTTTTTGTGAAACTGATGTTGCAACAGAAAAGTGGCAATTGTTTACACTTTGTCCTCGTTTTGTTGTCCATTACACTAATTAATCGTGATTTTCAGTTTACCGAACACAGCCTTTTGAGACTGCAATCACAGCCGAGAACCAAGTTCATCATTCTGCACTCAGCGAAAAACAGTAGCAAAATAGTAATAAATACAAAATTTAAATTTAAATCACAATAAAACAATACATGTAGATTTTAGACTTGATTTTTTTGAATCAATAGTTTTACTTATGTTATAGCATAATCTATTACAATTTCTTATACTTTAGGTGTGTTTGAATTATTTTTTACTTGTTATAAAAATTTGTTGATAAAAATTTCTATTCTTATTTTATTTTTCTATTTAAATCATTAATTTACTAAACTTAATCTATGTTCAACAAACTTGACATAATTCTTAATTAGAAAGCTATGTTTAATGTCACAAAGATGTTACTATTTAGTACTTTAAAAGTAATCCAATATCTACAATTTTCTGCTTTTCAAACAATATTTTACAACATTTTACAATCAAAAAATGCAAAAAAGAAAATCAGATTCAAATATTCAAAGTTGATTGCTTCTTCGAAAGACCCCAAAACTTAAACAAATTCTAAAATCTAACACCTCCATCAAAAAATAATAATATTATTAATAACAATAATTTATAAGTCAATTATGAGTCCTAAAGTAACTGCATACTATGGTCAGTATTCTTGGCTAATTCTCTCATGTATTTTCTTCTACATTTCCAACTTTGTTAGATACATAAGCAATCTAGAAGGGGTTTTGTATATTGATAGCATCAGCATACACACCGATGACTCGCATACAACCCTGGTTCACCGCAGCACTTGGCCAGTCTGCGCACCAACCTGAATGTCACCCTGGACACACACATTGGCTTCAGCAACAAGAATCCACAGTTTTGCTGCAACACTGCCACCAGTGCAATGTCCAAAACCAGCGTAAGCCCAGAGTCGAAGCGCTTGGCTCTCCTTGCAAGAACCTACCTTGCGAATTTCATGCCCAACACTCACCAGGTCGAAGATCACCAGAGGACGGCTATATCAATGCATGCAGGCTTTGGGCAGCTAGTTTACAAATCACTTGATCGAATTTTGTAGTACAGTGACTCAGTATTTGGTGAAAGATAGTCCTCATTTTGGGATTAAAATCTATTGGATTCCTGCCTAGTATACTGGACAGTCGCTGGATTGTTTCTGAATATGCTCCTGGTACATGTGCTGGCCAGGCTGGACGAAGTACTGTACCATCTTTGAACATGGTTCGCAAGTTCCATTCTGCTGTCTTACTAATGTTGAGCCGAAACTCCACAAACAAGGTCGAGCCAAACAGAGAACGACAACGAATGTTTTCAAACAACATGCGATTTATATGTGTCGTTGGGATGCCGATGCAGGTCAATGGTCGTGAATGCCAACCATGTCAATGTTGCTTTCATAGTTGCATCTTTCTCCTTCCTAAGATTTCCTCGTCCGTCGGAAATTATATTCGTCATTCCGATGCTACTGACATGCGTCGCATGACTAACAACCTGCGCCACAAACTAAAAGCTTGTACAACGGTGGTTGGTGCCACGCACTCTGATTCAAAAGGACTGATGATACTCTGCGTGAAGAGACTTTGTAACTGCCAGGAATGACACCGTGGCCCTGAGCAGTGTTTGGTCGTGGATCGACTGAAAAAGGCGACAGTCACGCAGATCTGATGTACAAAGTGCTCTCGGACCCGGCCCCATTGATACCATAACCGGCCAGCACTTCATTCAGTCTGTCACACCGCGAGAGAGCGGCATTGTTTATTATTTTATATTTTTTACAGACATACATGATACCTTATTTATGTAAAATTTGTGATTTCGTTAGAACACTATTATAACATCCTTTGTTTTGTTGTGTTTTCTGTAAAATATTTTTGGTTATATTCGAGTGCTGAACTGCACAGGCTTCCACTCACATTTATATATATATATACACGAATCTAGCGTTCAAATTGTGAATTGACAGCTACAAGGCAAGGCTCCAATCAATCCTTTAATGTAGAGTTAAAAGACATCTTTCCTTCATGCGAATCAAAAAGGGAGTTCGGCGAGAGTCAGTCCGATCGATTGATCCAAGCAGTCTTATGTCCAGTTATAGTCGACTATTTGTTGGATAAATAGACTACTGCCACGGTACCCCTGATCACTTTTGTGTCATCACCCATAACCCAAATTCTAAGTGAGTAGAACGGCAGCAGAAGCAGTTCCAGAGTGAACTGCGTTCGTGGTCGCCTCAAAGTGTGGACCAGACCACATGTATTTGTCCAAGCTAGTTTCAGCGAATTTAATCTCATGGTCTAAACTGTTTTGTTGAGACTGAAACTGTCGTGATCACAGTCCAAGTGTAACTAATCAGGCCACAATCGTCTTATCAGACGACGAATCTCACGTTTATTTTGCTCGACGGGTGTCATACTGTGGCTGGGTTTGGTGTAAGCCCCTTGAGCGAGATCCAAGCGAATGTGCTTTGTCAACTTTTCTCACAAACTACTCAAACCCAGTAAACATTTATAAATAGAAAGTAGTAAATGACTTGCATGATGCCTCTTTGACATACCCTCCTGGATTGAGACGGCAAGCTGCTTTTACAGTCACTGGTCGAGGCTTGGAAGGAGAAGCACCGTGCAGAGAAGCATTGATCGTGTATACCACTAACAAGGAACTTCTCTATGAACTGGTTGTGTCACACGTCATTCTTTACAGCCCACTTGTTTTGAAAGCCGAATGTGAGATGTGCACTGGGGTTGGGTTAGACGGGGCCTTTGTGGATTGGTCCGTTATTTTTTTAATTATTTATGTCATTGTTGTACATATCACACAGAAGTTATTATTTACATGTTGTGGTAGCGTATGATGACAAGGTATCATGGGCTAAGGCGGCGGGATGTAGCATAGCCAATTTCCTGCATAAACAACGAAGGTGACATCGATCTCTGATTGACAAAGGAGATAAATGCAGATGGGATGAAACTTATATATTCTCAATATCAGTAATCAACGCAAAGAAGTTCCTAGATTTCGAGTGGAATTCTCTCTCTCTCTCTCTCTCTCTCTCTCTTGCTCTCTCTCTTTCTCTCCTTCTCTCTCGCTCTTCACCTCACGGATTGTGTTTCTCGCCTCTCAAACTTTCAAGCATCCACGAGAGATACAACCCGCAAACATAATGGGGAGGGGGAGGTCATCAACATGCGACAATCTTCGGCTATCTCCACCGATTGCAGTCCTTGTCATTCTCAGCTTCTTCACATCCATGGCCGCAGCATCAGATCCTGACCCTCTCCAGGATTTCTGCGTTGCAGACCTGTCAAGTCCTATCTTCATCAACGGATTTCCGTGTAAGGATCCAGCTAAAGTAACCTCCAACGACTTCACCTTTCGTGGGCTTCGAAAACAAGGAAATTTGAGCTCATCGTTCGGCGCTCCACTGCAAACAGCTTTCGTGACGAATTTTCCAGGTATCAACACGCAAGGGATCTCGTGGGCGCGTCTGGACTTCGCACCCAAGGGCGGTCTCAATGTGCCCCACTGGCACCAACGCGCAACCGAAATTCTATTCTGTCAGGAAGGCCAGCTCCTAGTGGGCTTCGTCGACACAGAAAACAAGCTGTGGTCGAGCGTCTTGCAGAAGGGCGACATCACTGTCTTCCCACGAGGTCTGATGCATTTCCAGCTGAATGTTGGCAAGACTCCAGCGATCGCACAGCTCTCTCTCAACAGCCAGGCCCCAGGTCGATCAGACATTGGTGCATCCACGTTCAACAAAGACGTCATCAACCAGATTCTGGAGAAAGCATTTGGCCTCGACCCTGACATTGTAAACCAACTAAAGTCGTTTTTCCAGATGACCCAGATGCAACCTCTCGGCACCTGCCCATGCCCAGTAGGGGAGTTTACCGATATCCAGAACATCGAAGGTCTCGGCACTTGTCCATGCTCAACAGACTCACCCATGTAATTCTAGCTTCTGGGTTGCCTGTCAATAAACGGTTGTGAACTTTGCATCAACCACATAAATGGCATCGATCTCAGTCCAGACGCGGTACTATTGATCATTGCTACTACGTTGGTTAACGTCTGTAACATCTCACTAGGTCACCACGACGTACAAGACGGAGAAGCTCGAGAGCCGAGAAAGCAGTATGACTGAACAGGCCAATTCCAACAGTCTCTACGTATCTGTTGTGTTGGTGCAGGCTAGTTTGTAAACTATCTGATGGATTAGAAACCATGTTGCTCTGTCCAGGTTTTGTATCTGATACCTCATGGCTCAGAGGCTCTGGAGGCCAATGGAGATGCCATTGCTCGATACAGTGCCCAGATTCTTTGCTTCTCATTTGTTTTCATTTGTTCTCATCGGTGGCTGGCTCGGTGCCAACTGGTGCTCCTTGAAATAAAGTGACCTAAAGTAAACGAATAGTAATGGTTCTGTCATCTTTTCTGCCAATGTACAACAATCAACAGTATTCGAGTACACATTGACAAAAGTATATCTATTACATTAGGGAATAGTGGAAACTTGTGCTATTGACCACATAAAAGGTGTAAAAGTTTAATTTGTAGAATAATTGCACGCCTTGTGATCTCGCATTGCTACTTTCAGCAATCTATAGAACGAGTATGCATATTTTGATCAAATGTTGAATTATTGCTCACTTTTGATAAAAATAAATAATAATAATAATAATAATGAGATATTCAGCAAATTAGAGATGAGTTTAATCTCCTCTAGATTATCTTGTTGATTTATCCACTAAGTTCTTTTATATAAGAGATGGATTTCATATAAGGGACAAAACAAATAATAAGATGAAAATTGGACATGACCAAGTCCTTTTTGATGAATGAATATCAATGTTTTTTTTTTTTTTTTTTTTTTTTTTTTTTTTTTCAACATGTATATGTACATAAAAAAAGAAAAATGGTTAAACAAAAATCCAATGTTATGTGAAAAATAGTAAAAACGAATCTACCATGTTTTAAAACGATTTTGTTTTGATAAAATCTTGTTTTGAGTTCTCGTATTGATTTATTTGGTTTATTAACAAGAATGCATTTAGATTTTTTATTTTATTTTTTATTTTTTTAAAGTTGGTATGTGCACACCATTAAAACTTCTCTCATTTTATTATAATAATAGTATAGTTAAAAAATATAATGAGTGTATCATATATGTACCTACTATATAATACCAATGTGGTTTTTTTATTAATAAAATTATACTTACAAAAATTTTAAACTTCACACTAATTCTTTTAATATTCCAAAATATTGATAAATTTTAGTATTTAGAAGTGCAAGACATGTGTTGAACTTCTAAATACTAAAAATTGTAACTAAAAGATTCTAGCTTATTTGTGGATGTTTGTCAAGTAAAATAAAATTTAAAAATAAATAAAACATGATATGTGCCAAAAAATATATTATATTTTTAAAGTAAATATTTAATTCTTTTACGACTTCAAATTTAAGAAAAAATAACTTTTACAAATAAATACAAAAAATTGTGTATCTAATAGTTTTGTATGTAATTTGTTACACAAAATTGCATAAACAATAAATTTTACAAATATACAATTATTTTTCTATATTTTTTTAATTTTTTATCTTAAAATTTTCAAAATATAATTTAATTTTAAATATTAAATATTAAATTGTGCATCTCTAACTGAATTTGATTTGTAGCTAAGAATTCTATTGAGTAGAAGAGGTCGTCAAGTCCTTCATAATACAATTGTACATATTCTTACATATTCATAATATACTATTTTATATTAAATTATTTGTACATATTTGTATATATTCATAATGTACTATATTGTACATATTCATAGTACATATTTATAGTAAAAATATACATAATTATTAAGTTGTATAGATAACTTTCTAAAAAGAATATATATTCATAATATACTATTTTGTATTAAATTATGAAATACATATTAGTACATATTCATAGTACAAACGAATATCTACTATTAATACGTACAATATACTCATCTTTTTATAGAGTTGTCTATGCAACTTAATAAATATTAAATTATTAGAAATTAGAGGTTTTGACTTACAACAATAGAACTAAGTTGGTGGACGGAAAGGAATATCAAGAAAGAAAGGATATTAAGGTATAAAAACAATTATTTGAACAATTCTATATTTCTAAATTATAATGTAAATATCTATATATATTTATATTTATTATTTTAGTATCAACTTTATTTATTTTTACAATATAGCTTGCAAAAAAAAATATTATTTTCGATTAATAATTGGATTTATCTAGTATGTGTTTAAAAAAACTAACCATAATCTGATGGTTTGTCTAGTTTAAACTACTAAAAATATCACTTGGCTTTAAATATGTTTTGATAAATAATTCTACAAAAATGATACCATGTTTTTAAATTTGCAATCAGCAATTTAAAGATGGAATAAAAATATATTTAAAAGATATATTTGTATATCTGTTGTATAATAAGTAATAATGATAAATAAAAAAAAGATTATGCCAAATGGACCATGGTTGAAGAAGGACATGACTATTAGATGCAAATTCTAGATAACTCCACAACATGGTTAATATAATGTTATTGTATGATTAAAATTACACAAGATTGGTTGTTATCACTCTCCATGCTTGCTTCATTAAAAATTTATGCCAATATCAAACAATGTAGGTTGCAAAGTTTATTAGATTTTTTTTAGCCATGTATAATGATTCTTCCTATATTTACTCTAGTTTATTTTATACTTTCCAAATGATAAACATAAAATGCTCACATTTTAGAATATTAGCACTCTGATTTCTCAAAAGCAATCTACAATGCATACATATTAGAAGATTGCTAACCATTTTAAAAAATAAAATAAAATAAGGAAAAAATTACAAATATTGGTAAATAAATTAAGAAATATTTTTTTCTAATAATAATACTTTGCACCTCTAGAAATGATACAAGATAAAACAAGTGAAGAAAAGAAAAAGAAAAAGAAAAACCTAATAAAATGTGTTTTATTTTTTTTTTACATTTTATCTTATTTAACTTTTACAAAAATAATGGTAATTTCTTTTTTTTCTAATTAAGGTGTCTAAAATTTAACAAAGCATTTAACTAAAAAAAATTGTGCATATGGACCATATGCTAAGCATTTCTTAAAGATTGCCAAAAAAACAAAACTCATAAATTCTATCAAAAAATCTTAAATAAAATAATAATAATATAAAATCATTAATTATTTTTTTACAAAATATATCGTCAAAAAATATATATATTTAAAATTTAATTGATTTCTAGACCAACATTGAAAGAATTGAATTACTTCGTTACAATGCAATTTTAACAAATAATAATATTGTATTAGTTTAGATTAGATTAATGTATGGGTAGATGAGACAATAGTCATTTTAGGATAAGAAGACACACTTACAAGAATGCATTTATCACAAGAATGCTAAATACTATATTCTGAAAATGTAACATTACTAAATGATTTATAGTTTTCTGTGAATGTAAAGATTTTTGTTGGATTGTATAAATTGTAAAGCAAATCCACAACTTGGGCGTGTTAATTTTAATGTATACTGCTCTGTTTCTTTGCATCACACTAAAATATTTTCATCTCATGTTTGATAACATCTACCCCCCTATATGCTTGATCTAATACAAATCAAATTATTTATTTATTCTTGTAAAAAGAAGCTTAGTTTGCCCATGTATGAGTTTATAAATAAATATATAAATATTTATATATTTATGTATTGTTATAATTCATTTAAGTTATAATTTTGGTGGATGGAAATTACATAAGTTTTGCAAAAGTTTCTGATTTATGTGCTGTATATATTATCAAATTATATATTATAAGGAAGCAAGAAATATTGAATTACATCCTAAATTATATAATTATATGTCTTAAATTAGTAAAAACGCTGTTTTTGTAGAAACATAAAATATTATCCTGTTCAAAATGTTTAGGTTTTTTTTTTTTTTTTTTTTTTTTTTTTTTTAATTTCTTTCTAAAGACTAGGGTGGTAACAATTGCTTTTACATCTTCCATGACATTACGGTTGTGAGCCTGAATTTGAGTTGAGAAGTGATGATGCACGATGGATGTCAATGCATTATGGCCAGGAGACGATTTCCCTGTCGTTGAAATAAGAAAAGCACGTCTGTATTATGAATGTACTAATATGCTCACTTATGTATTCTCCAATCGGTCTAGTTTAATTTTTCAGTGAGCTTTTCGCATAACTTGATAGGAGGATACTCAAACGCTCTTTACAACTTTTCCGCCCAAAAAATTTCTATTTGAAAAACAAAAGTGCAATCCCGTGCTTTTGAGTTACTTGTCATCATGAAGAAGTTTGTTTCAGCTAACCTTAAAGCGCCACATTGCTATAGCATTTCGATGGTATGCGTCTTTATCTAAGCTCGCCTGGCAATGGCGACCTGGATCATTGCACTACCATGAGGTAACTGCTGGTGGTGGTGGAGTTTCAGCCATCCTTTACAAAAGTGTAGGGTTGAGTTTGAAGTTTTATATTAGTCACTCGTTGCTTCTCAAACATTCTACGACATATGTCAAAGATGTCTAGGAAGTCGATTTCTGCTCCACGTTCGAGCTGCAAGCCACTAACTTCCGAACATCGACAAGTTTAATGCTAAACGTTCAGGTGTAAACTTATGCAGCAGAAGTTGCAAGAACAACTCTATTCTTGACTAAACCTGTTAGATATATTCTCGTCCAATCCTCCTTCTGCTAACTCCACACCAATGGAGAAGAATCCTTCTGGGAAAAGGAAAGCATTTGTCAAACCGGTTTCGCCGACGTCAACACTGATATGAACAATGCCGATGCAGAAACAAACGGCCATGCACACTCAGTTCTTGTTGCTTTCTGATACGTTTGGTGGTAACTACTCAAGTTAAATAAATTGCACTCCCACACAACTGGACGAGTAACCTTGTTCAGAGCAAGCAGTTCATTTTCCCTGCCTGTTATTTGTTTAATCCACTGACGTGATTTACCAGTCCAGGTATAGAACTTGTATTGACTGCAATACGATCTATCATATGATCTTGTGAGTTTGTGAGTTTGTGATCCATCATATCAACTTGAAACTTACCTAATCTTGTGAGTTGTGATCATAAGATAAGTTGTAATCAATCACATGATCTTTGCGAGTCCGTTGCCCGCTGCCGGCGATTTCGATAGATTTCTGGTACTTGCTCAGCTCCAGAAGAATCCACTTGAAAAAACCCACCGAAGGGACCCTTGATCAGTAATTTAAAATGAATTAATCCCAGAGTCGGTAACAGTCGGCACCAGGAATCAGGGGTTGATGTCGAGTCTGCACGCCCCCCAATATCTACACTGACCGAAGAACAACCTGTAAATATGTTGTGATACTTCGATTG